CTATATTTTCTTCTAGGAGTTTTATGGTTTCAGGTCTTACATTCAAGTCTTTAATCCATTTTGAGTGAATTTTTTTGTATGGTGCAAGATAAGGGTCTATTTTCATTTTTTTGCATGATTTCATTCACATGTGGAAGATAACAAATACATGGATAAAGAGAACAGATTAGCGGCTACCAGAGGGGAAGGAGGTTGGGGGAGGGAGGACAAAAGGGATAAAGGGGCATATATGTATGATGATGGACAAAAATTAGACTACTGAGGGTGAGCACAATGAAGTATATTCAGAAATTGATACTAACAATGTACACCTGAAATTACATGATGTTATAAACGATTATGATCTCGATAAAATTACTTGAAAAACAGAATTAAAATCTTAAAAACTAAAAATATAATAGGCAAACATATATTGTATCATTAGGTAAAATTGAGTATACACAAAATAAGTCAAATTTATTAATCAGATTCAATGAATAAACACGGGGGAAGCAAATTTTAGACAGGAAAAAAATAAAAACAAAAAAAGGAGAAGCTGACTAAAACGCTAGAATGCAGCGAGTGGTAAGGAGAAAATTGGTAGCAAAGAGCAAACCTAAGATGATTGATGTGAACTTGCCTAGAAGGATCCCAGGATGTTTCATCTACTGCTAATTGTCAGACAAGAGAAAATAAAGCAATTTCTTATGGCAAGAAAGCCAACATAAATGACAAGCCCACAGAGAACATCATTCTCACAGTGAAAGTTCCAAGCTTTCCCTCTACAATCAAGAACAAGACAAAGGTGCCCACTTACACCACTTCTATTCAACATAATAGTGGAAGTCCTGGATAGAGCAACTAGGCAAGAAAAAGAAATAAAAGACATCTAAATTGGAAAGGAAGAAGCAAAATTGTCTCTGAAGATGATATGATCTTATATATGGAAACCATAAAGACTACCTACAACTGTTAGAGCTAATAAACATTTAGTAAAGTTGCAGAACACAAAACAGTATGCAAAAATTTCATTTCTATACATGAACAACCTGTCTGAAAAAGAAATAAAGCAATCCCATTTACAGTAGCATGAAAAGCAATAAAACTTTAAACAAGGAAGTGAAATTTCTGTACACTGAAAACTATAAGACACTGATGAAAGAAACTGAAGAAGACACAAACAAATGGAAAGATGTTTAAGAATAGAAAAATTAATATTGTTAAAAGGTCCATACTGGCCAAAGCCATCTATAGATTTACTCCAATCCCTATCAAAATTACAATGACATTTTTCACAGAAATAGAAAAAACAACCCTACAATTTGAACGGAACCACAAAAGACCACAAATAGCCAAAGCTATCCTGAGAAAGGAGAACATAGCCAGAGGTATCATACTTCCTGATTTCAAGCTATACTGCAAAGCTATAGTAATCAAAAAAATATGGTACTGGCATAAAAATAGACACACAGATCAAAGGAACAGAACAGAGGTCCCAGAAATGAACCCACACATACAGTCAACTAACATTTGACAAGGCAGCCAAAAATACTCAATGGGGAAAGGATAGTCTCTTCCTTAAATGGTGTTTGGAAAACCGGATATTCATGTGTAGAATGAAATTGAACCCCTCTATTACACCACTAACAGAAATTAATTTGAAATGGATTAAAAACTTAAATCTATGACCCCAAGCTATAAAACTACTAGAAGAAAACAGGGCAAAATATCATTGATATTGGTTTTGGTAAAGATTTTTTGGATAAGACTCCCAAAACATGAGCAAGAAAAGCACATGAAAAGAAGTGGGACTAAATCAAACTAAAATTCTTCTGCACAGCAAAAGAAACTTTTCAACAAAATTAAAAAGGGAACCTATGGAATGGAAGGAAATATGTGCAAATGATATACCTGATAAAGGGCTACTATCCAAAATATGTAAAAAACTCATACAACTCAATATCAAAAATAATAATAGTCCAATTTCAAAGTGGGCAAAGGACCTGAACAGACATTTTTCCAAAGAAGACATACAAATAATCAACAGGTACATGAAAAGGTATTAAACATCACTAACTATCAGGGAAAAGCAAATCAAAATGACATGTAGAAAAAAGTATGAAGTTTCCTCAAAAACTGAAAAACTACCAGATGATCCTCCAATCTCATTTCTGGGTATATATCCGAAGGAAATGAATCCCTATTTCAAAGAGATATGTGCACCCCCATGTTCATTGCAGCATCATTCACAATAGTCAAAAATTAGAAACAACCTGTGTGTCAATGGATGAAGAAAATGTGATATATACATAGATATGTGTGTATATATATATATGTAGATAATGGAATATTATTCAGCCCTAAAAAAGAAGAAAATCCTGCCATTTGCAAAAATATAGATGAAACTTGAGGGTATTATGCTATGCGAAAAAAGTCAGAGGAAGACAGATACTGCATGATCTTACTTGTCTAAAACATTGACCTCATTGAAATACTTGAATCAGAGAGTATACTGATGGCTACCAGGGGATGGGATGTGGGAGAAATGGGGACATGTTGGTCAAAGATTACAAACTTTCAGTTATAAGATGAGTGAGTTCTGATGATCTAAGGTACAGCATGGTGACTGTAGTGAACAATATTGTACTGTATACTTGAAGTTTGCTAAGAGAGCAGATATTAAATGTTCTCACCACAAAAAAATGTAGCTATGTGAGGTGATGGATATTTTAACTAAGCTTAATGTGGTAATCATTTCACAATATATATGTATATTAAATCATCACATTGTATACCTTAAACTTACACAATGTTATTTGTCAATTATAACTCAATAAAGCTGGACAATAAAAAAGAAATCCAAAGTCAAAAGTCTTCAGAACCCACATTTTCAAACTTATAGGCTCCACGTTAAAAACCAATCAATGCAAAGCTTATTTTTGCCACACATCCATTTGCACTATATGAATTAGTTAATTTCAATCATTCTGAAGTGAATTTATTGAGGCACTGAGAATAAGTACAATCTATTATTTTTCTTTTACAATAAAAGTTTCATTATAGCAAATTTTTGTTTGTCATTTTTCACTGTTATATTTGAAGCATCCCGAAAAGCGACTGACATATAGTGGGCACTCAACAAATGTTTACTGATTGAATGAAGTAAGGAAACAACGTATATTAATTTCTTCTTGACACAATATTTTTATTGTTTAAAACAAATGAGGAACTTTAACATAATCAATGTTAGGTCAGGTAAAAAGTTGACACTGTGCTAGGCTATTGTGGGAGAAATATTTGAAAACCAGAGCCTCTTGGTTCCTTTAAAAATACATTAGAAGATGATTCCTTCTTCTTTCTCTGTAGAATGAAGATTTTTAAAATAACAAGAATCTCAAGAAATAATATCCTGAGAAAAATATTTTAAAAACAAAATTGTATCTTGGCATAAAAAATAATTGTCTTAAATTTTCTCTGATATTCAGGAAAATTATAGGTGATATTATTGAGGTAAATTGAGTTTTCTAGGATTCTTGTAGTCTTGAGTCTATTTTCCATAACTAGGAAATAAAATTTATCCTTTTATTTTATTGTAGCAAGAAGAAAATTAGAAGGTAGCATACCCACTAGGGAATTTCTGTAGTGTTTCTTGCCAAGGATTTTCCACTGAGGTTTGTTATCTGTCTGGAGAAAATGTCCCACAGCTTTATATAAAGAATGAGAACCATTCCTTAACAACTAGTATTTTAGAATAAAATAGGTTTATACATCTAAACATAGTGAGGATCTTTCAAATCAAATAAACAAATAATATTAAGAACCTATGATAAGACACAAAGCCACTGAACAGAGAATATTCAATCCTTATATCTAATTAACATTTAATTCTGGTGGAATTATCGGTGTAATTTTTTTTGCAAGAAAAGGAAATACTACCATTGAATATCAACACTAATTTAAGGTAGGTGTTATATGTGGGTGGGAGTGATCTGTTTAGCTTGATTGATTTTATCTTTTTGTACAACACCAGGAGTGTTGTGACCTCTTTATACAAATTTGCAGACTAAAGAGAAAGTGTTAATGATAATATATCATCATTATAACTTAAAACACTGAATTATGTCTATTTAAAAAAATATATAGGGATACAATTTGCATTAGTGGGCATTTGCATTAATTAAAATATATGTGCACTGGCATACAAATCTTAAAATTGTTAACGTCAGATCAAGCTAAGCATAGTAATTCTGGGAAATGAAAGGGATGAAAATGCAATCCTCATGAGACTTCTTATGGGGGGATAAGTACACTGTTAATATTTGGATACAACCTGAAAAATCTATCAGCAGATATACACTTGCAAACTGAGCACTGTATTTCTTGAAAAATAACTAACCCAACATTAATGATTACACTTAATAAAATGTGGTCACACGTATTGGATTAATTAATCCTTACAGCACAACAAAGTAAGATAAGGGAGGTTCCAAATGTTTAAGCAAGGCATACCTTTTGGTGTATGTGTTATTAGCAGTGGACTGGATCCAGGTTTTCTGATTTCATATCTTGTTTTCTTTTCTACTGCACCAGTGTTTTTCAAACTTTTTACTGTTGCCTATTACAAGATATATATTTTACATTATAACCCAAGTCACACACATACACATAAACTCACACTTGTAAAGGAATCAAATACAATAAATCCATAAATAGCATATAACCATTAAATGTATGACAGATTATAACTCACTGTGTGGAAAGCGCTAACCATTCCTCCATTTTATTCTTTTCTCTAATATAACAGCAATCATGAGTTTCCCTTTACGTAATCATTATTCTATAAAAAATTTACTATATTGCATTTCTTAGGTAAAATATACAGATTTGTCAGTCTTTCTTTTAGAAGCACTACAAAATTATAATTTAAATTTAAATTATAATTATTGGCATTTAGACATTTTTCATGCTTGCAAGTATCAGACCACTTCACTGGAGTTACACCACAGAGAAAATCGCTTCATAATTCACTTTAATTCAATGAATAAATTAACCATCAAGAAAATTCAATACTGAAATATGTCTTCACTTTGCCTTGAATCCACCAACAAGATCAACAACAGTCATGAATCCAAGCAATGCAAGTTCTCCAAAGGTTTTCATTCTCTTGGGTTTCTCTGACCATCCCTGGTTGGAAATGCCACTCTTCATAATCGTGCTTGTTGCTTACATCTGCACACTAGTGGGAAACATCTCAATTATTGTAATATCCAGGGTGGATCCTCATCTTGACAGCCCTATGTACTTCTTCCTTTCCAACCTCTCCTTCCTGGACCTGTGTTTTACCACGACCACCATTCCTCAGCTGCTGCTGAATCTCTGGGGCACAGATAAGTCTATCAGCTATGGAGGCTGTGTGACCCAGTTTTATATGTTTCACTTCCTGGGGGCCACCGAATGCATCCTTTTAGCTGTGATGTCCTTGGATCGTTACATGGCCATCTGCAAGCCCTTGAGGTACTCAGCTATTATGCACCAGCAACTCTGCATCTTCCTAGTGGCCGTGGCGTGGCTAAGTGGTTTGGCTAACTCCTTGCTTCAGTCATCCCTCACCATCCAGCTGCCACTCTGTGGTAACAATAAGGTAGATGACTTCCTGTGTGAGGTTCCAGTGATGATCAAGATGTCATGTGTTGACACCACATTCAATGTAGCTATGCTCTCCATTGTGGGGGCATTCTATTCCCTGGTTCCCTTGTTACTTATCCTTGTTTCCTATGGGTTCATTGTGGCAACAGTGCTCAGAATTCGGTCCTCAGAGGGAAAGAAGAAGGCCTTTAACACATGTGGTTCTCATGTTATTGTTGTATCTCTCTTCTATGGGCCAGTAATTAGCATGTATGTACAACCTTCTGCTACTAACTCCCAGGACAAGAACAAACTCATGTCCCTGTTCTACAGTTTGGTGACTCCTATGCTTAACCCTTTTATCTATACTTTGAGAAACAAGGACATGAAAGGGGCAATGAGGAGGCTTCTTGTCTCATTGTACCATCAGGGAAGAGAATAAACATAGCTATTTTTATACTCCACACTCTCCATATAGCACTCAGAAGATCCCCTACTCTAAAATCACCTCTGGATTTAACCTCCTCCAAAACCGTTAGCATTCTTTTGTGGCTACTCTATCTACGTATATGTTTACTTAACGCACTGCTGTAGTTTACTGGTTATCACTTCAAAGTGTGAATCCTAAGACTCAGTTTGTCTGCAATTTGCAAGAGAGTGAGGATCGTGTCATTAATTTCCTGTGTCTATCTAAAGATTCTACCGTAGGAATATGAAAAGTGAGCAATATATAAATGCTTTTGATTATTTACAGTCAGATTAAAAAACCCAAACCCTACCCTTTTATGTGACAATTTGAAGAACAATACAAGTAAGATGGACTGCAGTTTACCTTTTTCTTATTATGGATATGATGTAAGGGGTTAATATTTCATTTGCAAATCAATTCTTTTTATGAATTACCAGCAAGACCAGATGGGTTAATATCTTATATTCTATAACCAACCCTCTCAACCACATATTCACTCTCTGAATCTTTATAAACAAGATAATGCCAAAATAATGTCTGACTATCTCTTTCCCATAGGTCTCAGCGAGATTCCTTCCTATTGGGACATTTGACTGAAAAATATTCTATTCTTAATAATATCAACTCTTCTCATTGTAAATGTCATTTTCTCATACTTCTATACTCCCTACCTTTACAAAACTCTTATATTTTAACTTGTGTTTAGGGTAAATATTTAATTATTTTTCTAACAACTAAGTCTATTGATCTAAGGTCTTCACACATCTGCCCATCCTGGGTACCATGATGTGTTTGCGCTGTTCACTTCCAAATAGCGAGAACAAAATCTATAGACTCATATTGTACAAATATAACACTAAGTATATTGATCACACTCAATAATTAATTAAATAAATGTATTCACTCTTCAGTTTATGCTGTGTGCTTTGCAATAAACTTTCCTTTGTAGACTTTAAGCGAAGGACACTAGTTTGCTCTTGAAGGAGACAAGGAAAATCACTCTCTGGGAGATAAGCTGATTCCCTGGAATGGCTGTAAGTGTGTTAAGGACTAGGTCTTCTCATCTCACTATGTACACCTCCTTCATAGTACTGACCACACTTGAAACTTTACGTTCCTTTAGATGATCACTTCTCTCTCCAAAAATACCATGAGGTCTTTTTTTCTCACTTGGTAACCTGAGTAGTCAGTACAATAAATGCTATAGAATAGGCTTTCGATGATTATTTTTTTAAATGAATGAAAAGTATTACCTACTGTCCTAATTGCCTACTGTTAAAACCTGTATCACAGGCTCATGCAAAAATGCGTCATGTACTAAATGATGAATTTAAAGAAGAGGTTAGTAGCTGATGTTGAAGGCAATATTTTTCAAACTATCTTCTGATGCTGCTCCAGTAAATCTTAACAGTGGTTAAAAAAAAGAAAGTAATTCATATTCAAACAAATGTGGAAGGAGCCATATATTATTCTTGAAGCTTTAGAATTTTAGAAAAAAATTTAACATATTAAATGTTTGATAACTTCAAAGTAAACTGTTAAACCATTTTTAATAAAACACTTCCCAAACACCTTTTATTTTGATTTTATTGGCTTCTTTTTGAGAAGAAATAACATATAGCTTAGGAAATATAAATAACATAAAGTTTGGGAAATAACTGATTGGAAAACTCTGAATCTCAGAATTGGAACACAGAGTGTAGATGAGCCGAAGGGAAGCAGAAAATCTTACTTTTGGGCTGGATGAATAAACAGTCTCTTATAAAAGATTTGTGGGATATTGAGAGAAAGCTGCCCATAATATCCCTCTATATCTTCCCAGGTGTTTGAAATCTCAATATTATTTATTCCTCTAGGATATAATTTTTGCAGGCAGTTAGTGCGTTTGCAACAGTACTTATTAGACTACTTATTTCATCTTAATTATGGTATATATATTTATATATAAGTGTATATATATATATATAAAATAGCAGCTGCCATATAGGAGATGATAACTTAGTTACTGCACCTTAGTTTAAGCAATAAAATGAATAATAGGGGGGCCGGCCCCGTGGCTGAGTGGATAACTTCACATGCTCCGCTGCAGGTGGCCCAGGGTTTTGTCGGTTCGAATCCTGGGCGAGGACATGGCACCGCTCGTCGAGCCACGGTGAGGAGGCATCCCACATACCACAACTAGAAGGACCCACAACTAAGAATACACAACTATGTACCTGGGGGCTTTGGGGAGAAAAAGGAAAAATAAATAAATAAAATTTTAAAAAAATGAATAATAGGTTTCCTTTTTTACTGAATATACTTTCTCTTAAAAAGGTAACTCTTTAATACGTAGCTAAAATAATAAAATAAAGAGATGGTACATGATTTTAGATGAAATTTATACAAATGTCAATATTCATATCTATATAAATTATTTATCAGCAAATATATTGAAAGACATTTCTATAATGGATGTTTAAAAAGTGTCTCCATGTGACAAGTTTTCACATGTATAGGCGCATTTGATATACTGAGTCCAGCTTCCTAGAGGGCTGCTGTTCACCCTGGATACATACCAGACTCTTATCAAGTTTGTAAAAATCACAAACTTGACTCTACTGCAGACCTTCTATATCAGAATCTTGAAGAAAATCAAGTACAGAAAACTAGTTTGTTTTTTTTAAAGATTGGCAACTGAGCTAACAAGTGTTGCAAATCTTTCTTCTTGTTCTTCTCCCCAAAGCCCCTCAGTACATAGTTGTGTATTCTAGTTGTGAATGCCTCTGGTTGCGCTATGTGGGACATCACCTCAGGGTGGCTTAATGAGCGGTGCCATGTCTGTGCCCAGGATCCAAAGTGGCGAAACCCTGGCCCACCAGAACGTGTGAACTTAACCACTCAGCCATGGGACTGACCCCAGAAAACTAGTTTTTTTGTTTGTTTGTTTGTTTTTTTGTTTTAAAGATTTTTTTTTCCTTTTTCTCCCCAAAGCCCCCCGGTACATAGTTGTATATTCTTCGTTGTGGGTCCTTCTAGTTGTGGCATGTGGGATGCTGCCTCAGCGTGGTTTGACGAGCAGTGCCATGTCCGCACCCAGGATTCGAACCAACGAAACACTGGGCCGCTGGCAGCAGAGCGCGCGAACTTAACCACTCGGCCACGGGGCCAGCCCAGAAAACTAGTTTTGAAAACTTTCTCAGTAAAGTATGTTGTGCACCTAGAGTTAGTTAGGGCCATCACAGGAAAAAACATTTTGAGATATCCACTAGAGACAGAAGTCAATCATGTTCTGATTAATGGAAAAATGTATATTGCAAAACAAGAATAGGATACAATTCTTGCCAAAAGTGTGAAGAATTCTAGATGCTCCAAGCTTAAAAGAAAGAGATACAAACCTGTAAGTGGCAAAAATAAAAACCAAAATTCTTAGTACATGCCAAAGCAAATGCAACAAGACCAATTTGAACATCTAAAAGAGGTGGCTTCTGGGGCCCGCCCTGTGTCCGAGTGGTTAAGTTCGCTCTCTCTGCTTCAGTGGCCTAGGGTTTCTCTGGTTTGAGTCCTGGGCGCAGACATGGCACTGCTTGTCAAGCCATGCTGAGGCGGCATCCCACATGCCACAACTAGAAGGACCCACAACTAAAAATGCACAACTATGTACTCGGGGGCTTTGGGGAGAAAAAAGGGGAAAAAATAAAATCTTTAAAAGAGGTGGCTTCCTGTGAAGTAAATGTTATGTGAAAGTCAGGTAAGTACTTCAGTCAGTAGTGAAACTCCCACTTATAAGCAAACAATTTCAAAAAAATGTTTTTCTAAAATTAAAATATGCTACAGTCATGCATTGCTTAACGATGGGAAGAAGTTCTGAGGGATGTGTCATTAGGCAATTTTATCATTGTGTGAACATTATAAAGTATACTTACACAAGCCTAGATGGTATAGCCTACTATATACCTAGGCTATATGGTACTAATCTCATGGAACTGATCTTACTCTGTTTGGCATTGACTGAAGTGTTGTTATGCTGCTCATGACAATACAAAGAAACTGAGAACTAAATAGTTACTGTTGGTAATCAAGTTATCATCCTGGATAAGCAAACGTAAGAAATACCTTAAAACAAAGCGAAAGCAAAAATAAAACTATGAGAAACTATGTGATAAAATATAGGATACAGAGAATAGGAACATAAAACCAATTGTGCACAACAGGAGTGGTAGTTGAATTAAAGTAACAAATGGAGGAGTAATAATTAAACAAATAGTAGGAAAAAAATTCCTAAGTTAGAAGTAATTACTTGGGTCCAAATATTAAAATGACTACCACGCTAGATCGTAGCTAACAGAGGAAAAGTAGTAGACCTTGGACATATCCTTTTGAACTTCTTGAATTCTAAAAATGAAGGTGATATCTTAAGTGCATCCAAAGACACAGTTTGAATGATATATTAACTTATATCAGACCATCGCTCCCCCTAAGAATATTTAGAAAACCTAGCTAAAGTACATAAAAGAGAACGACTAGAAAATCTGTATAATATTTTGTAAAATACATGAAAAGGAATTAGAGACACCAAGGTAGCCAGGACTTGAGGGGCCGAAATTCCAGAGAGAAGGGAGAGACACTGAGGAGAGACCAACTTTTTAAACCACCTGTCCTTTCAGGAAATTTGCCAATTCTTAAAAAGCACATGACAAACAGGTTAAGAAACTAGGTAAAAATTGGCATTTAAGTGCCAAAGAAGATGAGAAGGATTTGGAGTAACCCCACAAGCCTAAGGAAACAAAAATGGGAATTCAGAGTGACCAAGGAAGCCAGATTAAGGAGTTAAAATTCCAAGTAGAAGTGACACACAGAGAAGTGAACCTGATATGTATCACCACTTATCAAGACATTTGTCATGTTTTTTGCATCAGCCATGCATCAGAACAGAAAGTGGTATCTAGCAGTCTAAGAAAAAGGACTTTCATTTTCTCAAAGTACCAGGGAGA